TAAAATGTTATCCATACAAATATTGATATTTTGAAAAAATTTAAATTAAAAATCATGACTTAAATGTAAAATGAGCTAGTATAATATATTATTAACAGGTTGACTGCCATGCTAAAAATTTGTAACCTGCTATAATTGCTTTGTGGGATCTAATAACCCTACAGTATACTTTTACCACTGGGCTTTGTGGGGTCTTTGAACCCTAAAGATTAAAATAATTTTTAGGCCTCGTAGGGTTATGAAAACCGTCAAAATATACACTTTCGTACGGAAACATATTTCGTCATGGCCTCCTGGGCAATTCTGTTGAATGGTTTTGAGATTAAAATATTTCTTATGAATCTAAATCTATTTTTAATTTAACGACGTATTTTTCCAATGAATGTGCGTATACGGGTAATATACGTATAAAGATAAGCTAGTTTTATTTTTATTATTATACTATTTTATGTTATTACTTAATCGTGTTCTATCGCTCAGTGTACACTGTTAACTGCGTTGTTATTTCTACATTGTACGGTTTGTACGGTAACGACAACAATATATTATCAACTGTTACAATATAGGTATTGAATGTAATTAATAATTATTAATTACAACCATTTATTCAAGAAATGGAAGAAATTATTGAAAATTGGTTAAATGACAGTGATGCGGAACTTATAAGCGACAGTGATGAGGAAGTAAATACTTACAAATATTTTTATTTTGGTACTTTTTAACAAAACAAATTTATTTTATTTATAAATAGGAAGTTGATGATTCAGACAAAGATCCTGATTGGAATGATGGTGAAAATTATGAAGATATCGGTGAAGAGATTGAAGTTGAACATTTTGAAAACGAAAGAGCTGAAGTTGAAAATAACATTCAAAATGAAACTACAACACTAACTTGGGGACCAGTTATAGGTAATCTTAATAATATACAATATAATCCTCATAATTTGGAAGTTGGTATAAATTCAGACATTATGGAAACAATGACGGATTGTTTGCCCATTGATTTTTATGGTTTATTTCTTGATGAAGAAATTTTAGACTTTTTACTAATAGAAACAAACCGATATGCCTCGCAATCTCTTCGTAACCGTAAATTGAAGGCATATTCTCGATTAAAAAAATGGACCCCGATCGATCGTACAGAAATGAGGAATTTTCTGGGCCTTGTTATGTGGATGGGATTGGTAAATATGCCCAGTTTAGTTGATTATTGGCGGAAAGATATATTGTATGCGAATAAAGTTACAGAAGTAATGAGTAGAAATAGATTTGAGTTAATTTTAAGTATGTTTCATTGCTCAAACAACGAAAAACCAGAACATGGAAGGTTAGATAAGATACAAAAATTGGTGGACTTATTAGTATTTAATTTTCAAAAATGGTATATACCTGAAGAGGTC